GAAAGTTATTGGTTCATTAAGACTAAATTGACGAGCATACTACAAAGATAACTTATAATATCGAATCAATTTTTCCCATGTAACAGATTCTCACTTTCAAAAACATTGCACAAACAAAAGTCGTATTTTTATTGATAGGAGCACATGAAAATAAATAGCGAACTCGAATTGATAATGGAACATGTTCAATAATATCCGCTAGAAATTTCATATTTTCAATATTACACATAAAATATAAATTATTATCTAATTGTGAAAGTTTTATAAATGTATCCTAAAAAAGAAAGCCAATTTATTTATTAAATTTAAAAATTCTATCAGCTTACCATTAAACTTGACAATGAATGTTTAGGTAAATAATAAGCAAACATTTCAATTTGTTCAGCTGTTGGATGAAGTCCAGCACGCTAGAGACAAATCAAAGAAATAAATAATCAGACTTTATTGTTTAATCAGAGCGGTGGAGTGTTTTTAAATGCGATAAGGCTCAAAAGTTCAGATAATAAGCTGTTTTCTAATATTTATTACTATGAGTGAAGATGAGATTCTTCGACTTATTGCTATTCTTTTATAAAATTTTTCGAAATTGATCAAGCGGATGACTTCGATAATACCATGAAAAACGTTTTTGGTATTCGATTTAAGACCGAATATCAATAATGTCTTGTAATAATATATGAATTACATCTTTATTGCATTTCTGAAGGATTAGGTAAAAATATGATGAAGAAATGTGCCCCAGAATAGACAGAATATAATAATCTCTATTTGATTAACAAGAACAACTATATCGTGTTTTCCATTTTGATTCCAAAGGAGTGGTGCTAGCAGCTTTTATTCATATTTTTCTGAAGTTTTAATAATAAGAATTATGTTTTCACTCATTGAAAAGAAGTGAACGATAATATCACGAAAGAAAAGACAATTTCTCAGATGCAAATAGCTTATTCTTTTGAACATATCATTCTACGGTTGGTTTAGTTTACATAGAGGTCTGTATGAATAAAAGTCAGATTCTCCCAAGAACGATAACGACATAGATAGTAGGCTTGATGATTGTCGTCATCACAATATATAAATAAAAAATGTAAAAAGTTCCAGTTTGTGCTTTAAACTTCAGTTTGCTTAATAAAACAATGCCAGATTCAACTATGAACAAACAAGTCTCACACTCATAAATGAGATGAGATTTGAGCTTCATCAGCCTATAGATTTCATTGCTCCATGTCTTTAAATAAGAAAACGTACTTTGATTGTTTCTACTTGTCGATGAATAATATCTTTCAATACAGGAGAATCATCATGTCGAAATGTTGTTACTTCTCCATCAGGAAATGCACTTGCGAATCTAATAAATATAATAATAATTTAATTATTCGGTTTTTCTATTTTCTAACCTTCCAGCTCGCCCAGCAATTTGTAGAGCTTGTGATGTTGTTACATTATTTTTTTCTTTTTCGCCTTGTTCATTTAATTGTGGTTTAGCAAGACTATAGAAAATGACACGTTTGATACTTCTAGAAATAAATAAAACAACCAAAAAAATGAATTCCAAGAACCAGAAAGAATATCAACTTCATACAGATTAAGACCCATACCAATGGCATCTGTAGCAACCATAATTTTACATAAATCATTTGGATCATTAAATCGTTGGGCTTGTAATAATTTAGTACCTAATAGAACATGTATATTACTTCAAAGATAGAAAAAAAAATTACAAAAATTACCCGGTGGTAATGATCCATATATAACAGCAACTTCATGGCCACGTCTTTCTAATTCGCGGCTTACATGAAATATATCATTTTTATTAAAGCAAACAAAACAATCACCAGGCTTTACATTATCAAATGTTTCTAAAGAATTGTAAAATAACATATGTTAGTCAAATCATGTTGTTTAATAGAACGGAATATTTCTTAGAAAATTCTTTAGACACATATGTAGACAGAGCTGAACCAGAAGAGAAATCTCGCGATCTTCATATTGGTATATCGACTTACCTTCATGTATGATCATGAACAATGGGTAATGACAGTAAATATCAGAACTCGAACACAAGCGGCTGAAATAAGATTCGTGTGAAAAGCAGCAGCTGACCAGACACTCCAAAACAAAGTTTGCAGTTTAGCCATGCGAAAATCTGTCTAAATCGAGCCTCTACTTCTTCATGTCGAACGATCACAACTACAATGACTGTGACATGCTTTGACAATATCACATGAAAGGATTCCCCTACCAAATATTGCAAGTCGTGCTTATTCAAAAAAAAAGCCAGTCGGACATCGGACATCCACGAATCAGTTGGCATAAATACGTCGAGAAACTCTACCAGGAATATTTAAAGTTTGAATAGATTGAAGTGAAACATGCTGTGAAATATCGAAACAGATGGAAATCATTACTGAATTGGATAAAAGCCTCAACTTGAAATGATCGGGAAAAGAAAATGAATGAATGAAATATATATCCTTTTATTGTTCAAATGTACTTAAAGTCAACATGATACGATCTGAAGACTAGTATTTTTGATAATATATAACATAATCATATAGAATAATCATGATTCTCATTACTTAAGTATTTTCAGGTTATTTCCGAAAGTTCAAGTAATGATACGTTGAGGTAATATCAACTAAGTTCAAACATATATAAATGTATAAAGCTAAAGGTTACCTACTGCTCCATCTAAATAATTTAATTTTGTTAATCGTTTGTATTCTCGAATTTCGAATTCATCATCAGTTGTAATCATTAATTCTTCTATTAATTCTCTTGTTGAAATTTCTCCACATAAATGAATTTCTTTTGCTTGAAGACCTAGAACAAAACAATAAAATATTAAAAACATAAAATTTAATTTTACCAAGTAAAGCTCGTGTCCATGCCCAACCACGTTGTGGATCACGAATCATTTGAATTTCATCAATAACAGCCACATCATCTATCAAATGATACATATAACGACTCAAGAACTATCAAATCATACGTACAAATAGTATTTAAATTAGACATTTCAACAGTGCATGCTACATGATTGGCTGATTTTCCTTCAGAATCACCAAAACGACGTTCTTCGCCAGTAACTAAGTCACATTTTGTACCCTAAAACAATATATTGACATTCAACCCTTACTAATACAAAATGAATCTTTACTGCTGCATTTGTTTTATAAAAAACTTCAGATGCTAGTAATTTTAATGGTCCACAATAAATACCACTTTCACTATGTATAAAACGTTGAAGTGCATGATATGTCTATAGAAAAACAGAAGAAAACTTTCGAATATATTGTATAATTAATATACTTTTCCACTATTTGTTGGGCCGGCATGAAAAATAATTCTTCGTTTCAGAGCTCTCGCATCCGGATACCTAAATCATGGATTTTTTTATTTGAAAATATTCTTTATTTAATTTAATATTATTTACCAGTTAGCTGGATTTCTAAGATCACTAATTTTTTTCAAATCTTCCATACATGTTAAATGAGGAAACATTTGTTGTGCATGTTGTAAAAAATACGGAAACATATCCGTAACATGACCTTATACGATGAAATATGAAAATTAACGAAAGAAAACAGGAGAAATTATAAGAAGATATTTACCGGCACCAGATATTATATCATTTAATACAGTGTGAAAATCAACAGGTAAAACCGTTGATTGAATAAGAAATTTTCGGAAGCTAACATAGACATTTTTAAAAAGATGAAGATCAAGACCTTGCTCATTAGCTAATTTTTTTATGTCATCACGGCGATAGAAATCATTTATAAGACGAAGAAGATCATCTAGAAAAAAGAATTCTTTTTTTAAGTATAATTTTATTCATTCATTGTCATCTTACTTTTTTCAAGATTTTTAACACCTTTTGCTTCTTTGACAATACTTATATTATTATTATTATTATGTAACGAAAGTGGATCGAATTCATCTTTAAGAATCATTCGTTTGATATCATTCGTTCGAAATTGTCGATGCAGACTATTTGTTGGATTATTATTTACGTTTGAACGTATTTTATATGGATGATGATGGTGATGAACTGGTGTAGATAATGTTTCATACCGTTTATTATCGGCAAGATTTGAAGTCGATTTAATTTTGTATGAGTAGCCCGATAATAATTTTGAGCATGAAAATAGACGTTGATATGAATCAAAATAACATGAATAGATTGTCAGAAATTTTTTTTTAGTAATATTCAACATGTTAACCGATAATCTACAATAGAATAATTAGCTAATTATCTATTTAATACATGAAAAATAAATTCATTCATGCTTCAAATACTCTTGTACGTCTATAGAATACTTTTTTTACTTTTTACTCTACATATGATTCGATAGGTTCAATGAGTACACTGGTTATGAAGAACAAGTATAATGTGTGATATAGATCAAGAGAATAGACAAACCATAAAATAAAGTATATACGTAGAAGAAGACAGTCAAGACCATGTAGGTTTGCCATGGTTTTTTTCACTCATATCTCACACACCATAGTTGATCAATCGTCGAGTCGGCTAAAATTATCAAATACTGGTTCCGGTATGAAATTCATCTATCGTCTATTGAGATTTCATCAAGTGCATACTTAGAAAGAACATCGCTTCGAGCTTAAACAAACCAAATCTAGACGCAACGAGATGACATACTATTGTGAACAATATCATCATACATAAAACGTGCAAAGTGGTGTAATCATTTTATAGATTTTTATCGAACAAAAAATCAACAGATTCTATGATGCCCTACCAATTGAAATACACAAAAAATAATTGAAAATACGATCACGCTGCATTTGCTAATCACGAAAGATAGCTTTATTCTATGTATTTTAGACAGCATCTCTTCGTCATTGTGTCACTAGGATCTGTGATGATCTTTAGCTAGCATATATCACGATCTATCGGGAGGAGAGTCCATATTTCTACCCTATATACTTCTTATTCTTTTTACATCGTGTGTCACAAAAATAAGATGACTACAATGGGCTAAGTGATAATCGAGACGACGATCAAAGGAGTTAATTATATTTTGAATAACAATAGAAGTGTAATGTATACAAACAGTTCAATTATCTTTTATCTTTGTTCATCGATAAGTCTCGTTCAAACTGAGTGCAAATATGAAAAAATTTAACATTTCTCGTTTTAAATCGAAATTAGAAGTCATATATTCTGTCTTTGAAATAATATTCATTTTGATGAAAGCAATAAACGAATGCTCTCAAGGCAATCAAATATAGATATATTTTAATCAATGTGATAATCTGATAATGTATTGAAAAAAAAGCAGCAGATGAATTTTAATAGAATTATGAAGAAACAATCCATTAAAAATTTTTCATAAAAACAATCGGTAGCTGTGTGATTAATCGATAATGAGATAAAACATTGAAAAGGAAAAAAAGAAAATCATATTTACTGTTTTTTTTTATAAAGAAAATTTTCAAGAACGACTTCTTTTGCTTTAATAAATATTTCTTTTTGAAATCAATCATTATATTTTCAATATAAATTTTCGATGAAATTATATCCTAAAACAATATTTGTATTTTATCGATATCAAACATTGTGTTTAACTAATTTTTAAATAATTATCAACATGAAAAAAAATATAAATATTTCATGTGATTAATAATCTATAGATGGATATATATTTTTTTTTTCTAAAAACAAAAAAAAATAACAACAAATATTCTTTTCTTCTTTCTTTAAAGTTGTCTATACGCAACTGTCAGTCAGCATTATATTTTTTTTTTTATTGTCGAAAGACAACATATCCACTCTCGTCAGTTATAACATGAACGAGAATAAAATGAAAAGAAAAATAGACAAAAAAAAAAGGTATTGTTTGTTGTTGTTGTTGTTGTTGTTTTTTTGTTGTTGTAGATAATAATTACTGACAGTTTTTAAAATGACAACATATGTCGTTATGCATTATTATTTGTTTTCTTTGATTTAGCCTTTTTACTTGTACTAGCAGTTGATTTTTTTTGTATAACTTCGTCAGGTTCATCTTCAAAATCTTCATCGCCATCATCTTCAACAGCTTCCATCGTTTCAGTACTAATTGCACCAGCTCCTTGATTACCTTGTTGATTACTATTAGCTTTCTTCTTCTTCTTATTTTTTTTCTTCTTTTGTGCTGAACTTGTTAATAATTGTTTAATATCACTATCAAGTATTTTATATGCTGATTCATATAAATCTAAATCAATTGGTAAACCAGTTATTTTCATTTGTCCACTTGGCATTAATAAAAGTGTAAATTTAAATTCAGCAACAAATTCTCCATCTTTTTCTTGATAAACAGGATATGGTTCAACAAGATCATGTTTAGCACATTCAATAACACCCATACGTGCACGTTTTTCATCTTCAAAATGTCTTAATGTAAATGGCATTAATGAAAAACGTTTTTCAACTTCAGATAAAAATACACGTGACGATTTCATACGTAATTGATAAATAAAATCTTTTTTCTTATATACTGTTGTACGTACATCAGTTTCACGTGGTTTACCTTCACCAGATGATATAAGAACATCAACAGCATAAACTTCATGTAAAGCAAATTCTTGCTTTTCAATGTCACGTCGTTGCATTTCCGTTGGATTTTGATAAATTTTCTTTTCACCATCAATAATACCTCGTGTCATTTGATATGACATCATACCTAAATTTTTAAATCATTGAAATTTTGAAACAATAACAAAAACAAAAACCATATACCTTCAACTGGTTTGCAATGATAAGCATTAGCAATACGATCGGTTATTTCAGTAACAGCCATATTATTTTCACCTGGTTTAATTAAACGAAGAGCAGCTTCAGCAGCATAATATGCAGCAAGAATACAATCAGCTCGTCGACCAGTAACCTTTTTCTCTCGTGTAGCACCAACAACAATTGTATGTGCAACAACGGCAATATATCCATCAATATGACAACCTAAATCAATTTTAACAACATCATCATCTTTTAATATGATGTCTGGATCAGATATTAATGGACTAAAATGACAAATATAATTATTAACTGATAAACATGTTGGAAATGCAATTCCTTTTTTAACATCTTTATCTTTTTTAAATACACGTGATGTTTCTTCATCTAAACGTTTATCACCGTAAATACATGTATCTTTAACAGATGCACCAGGTACACATCGATCAATAACTTCACGAAGAATACGTTGTGTTATTTCAGATGCCATCTTATATTTCGTAACAACCAAATCACTGGCAATAGTTTCTTCTTGTGCTGTTTTTGATGATGTCGACTCGCCCGATGAGGACGAGACGCTTGCTGAACGAGACGACGACATAATCGATGGAAATTAATTGAGAGAAAGAAATCTAACAAGTAAAAAATTTAGAATAATAAATAAATCTAATCTATGTAAATCTATGGCGAAAGAAAAAGAATTGCTTCAGAACACACTCGAACCATGAGAGCTGATATATGACCTCGATAGGAATTTGAAACATTTACTCTCTATATGTTAAATATATTTTTGAGTTTTTTATAAAAAACTTTATTTAAATCAATATCATTTTTAAATTAATTTTTAAAAATATAATGAACCATCAATAATTTATTCTATTGGTTCATACGAACCAATGAAAATTGACCTGAATAAACTGATGAATATTTGGATAGATATATGTTAGTGAAACTATTGTACTCTACAGACGGCTGTTTCATAACTTAGCTGGACGATGTACGCAATAAAAAAATAAATAAAAACTTAAAATTTAAAATTTAAAAAAATTTTCTAAACTAAGTTGGCATTATTGATAATAATAAAATTGAGTTATAGTATTGTAATGATCAGTATCGACTTGACATAAAAATGATTGAAGGTCATCTTACCAGTTTCGCTGAAAACGATGCATAAAATTAATATCAGTTCAATGACACAGAGAATAAAAACAAATCACCAAATAGTATGAAAATTAGAGACCGAGATGATGAACTCTTGTTTGAAGAATACTTCTTTCAAAAACTGCGGATTTATTTTTTAAGTTGATTTTAGTGGTATGGAAGTATTTAAGATCTTATCAGATGTTGCACTTGGATTTCTCCATAGTTTCGTTGCTTGTTTCTTACGTTTATGGTACACATGTAATCAAGAATTGTATTGGCAATAGATCCTGTGATTGGACTAGTTTTCTTACATACAGTAATGCATAATGTAATATTAGTTGTTAACTACGAAAGCTTGTCTCTATTAATCGATTCAGTTCAGAACTAAACTGTTATTATCAGTTGACAATACGAATGTGTCAGTTTTTGAAAGATGTAGCCTTAATCCATGTAGACTATGGATTTGAGATGTTGATTTTGAAGTTAACATAATAGTAGTGATAGTAATAGTCTATTACAAATGTCGGTAAATAGGAGCGTGTGTACCTTTGTCATATATATATATAATTAAGATATTCTTCTTTTTCATGTCGAATATTTTCTTTTATTACTTATAGATTATAAGAAAATGTATCAGAACTAAACGAGATACAGTGATGGTGATACTTTTAGTTTAGACAAATTTACAAAGGAGATCTTCAATTAATTTTATAACTAAAACGATTCATCAGATTTTTTTAGATCTATTCATCCATAAAATTCTCTTGATTTCTTGTGTAGAATTTTTTAATACAAGTTACTCCCTAAATATTCATTTCTTTTATCAATAGTTGAAATAAACATTAAACTGATCAGAATAAACTCAATACTTACCAGATTCAAAATTCTAAAACATTGAATAGTATCACATTTTAAAATAAGATAAATACATACTTGAGCATGTGGATGAAGAACAGAGGCACATTCACACTCTAATCAATCATACATGCGCATAAACCACATCAGAAAATGACTGTTTGGTGCTTTTTCAAATATGATCACATTTCATTGATGTAATACTTACATTGTCATCTTCTTGAAATTAAAACATTAATTATTTTCACTTGATCATAAGACTACTTAACCTCTTTTTTTTGTTTTGTTATTGTTGCTTGGTTGATAGGATAATTCGTTCGACTATGAGCTTTTACAAGAAAATGTTGATTGTTTGAATTAAAGAAGAGTGATAAAATTCCATACCGTTTTACAACAATTGTGTTTCATCTTTTGAAAGCCTTTTCTCTAATCGGCTTATCCAATGATGCTAACATCTTTTAAAAGCTAATCAGTTTTATC